ATTATTTCCCGCTAGACCACTTCTGCCTATTTGGTTGCAAAGCAAGAAGGCTACGATGTGAAAGAATTTAATGCAAGCGATACAAGAAACAAGAAAGCATTGGATGTAGGGTCTAAATCGAGATCTTGACGAACACGGATTTGTAATTTTAAGAGAAAGTATTAAAAATGCTTTGCTTTTTTAATTAATCAGCAAGTTGTTAAAGTAACCACACATAATACTTCCATCGCGAGTTTTGCTCATGGAGAGTCTACATCTGGTCAAGACACTCAGGTTAGTCTTAAGAATAGAGTCAAACTTCATATTGTGTCGATTAGTGCAAGTATAATAATAAACATTTCTTAAAAAAAAAAAGAGACGAAATGCAGACAAGATTCTAGTCATTATGGACGAAGTCGATGGAATGTCTGCTGGGGATAGAGGCGGAATGGCCGAACTTATAAAATTAATTAGGAAAACACAGGTTTGGGGTTTAGTTTACTTAAACCTTCTTATATACTGTAAATTAATAATGAATTGATTTTAGGTGCCAATTATTTGCATTTGCAATGATCGTGCCTCTCCAAAAATACGTTCTTTATTGAATGTGTGCCAGGAATTTAAATTTCAAAAGTTAGTATAAATGCATCAATTCATTGTTTTTGGATAATATTAAAATATTTTGTCTTTAAATTTAGGCCCCGAGTTGAACAAGTTAGGTCAAGAATTATGACCATCGCTACAAGGTTTAGTTTAATAATATTCATTACATATTACTTGTTTGCACCTTATATAAAAACTTTTTTTTTCTCTCATATTTAGGGAAAAGATTAAATTTAATACATCCAATGTGATCGATGAACTGGTTAGAGGAGCTAATTCTGATATTCGCCAAGTTTTGACCCAACTTTCTTCATTAAAGATTACACACGACACTATAAATTACGATGAGGTCAAGGAATTGTGAGTTGACATTTGTATCTTTTTTAAATTATCCTTGTGAAGACTAGATTTTATGCTCATGGTAAATAATTTCCACAGTGGAAAGGCGTGTGAAAAAGACACAAATATGAACTTGTGGACTATAGCCGCTACTCTCCTCGGCGATGCAGCATGGAATCCACGAAATAAATCTAGCTTAAATGATAAAGTGGATCTCTATTTTCTCGAGTCTGATTTATTGCCATTAATGATTCATGTGAGTTTTAAAAGATTTCAAGTTCTTCTCGTTACATGTTTATTTAATTCGCTTGTTCCTTTAGGAAAATTATATAAAAGTTAAACCAGAGAATTCCACCAGATTTGTTAAAGGAAATGAGGGAAATTCACATCTTGAGCAGATCGCTATTATGGAAGCACTTAGTAAAGCTGCTGATTGTATTTCAGATGGGGACTTGGTTGACAGAATGATATATGGGTATGAATTTAGTTTTATCTTTTTTCGATGTGCGCAGACACAAACTAATCTAATTCTTTTAAATTTAGTTCTCAACAGTGGTCATTGATGCCTGTTCATGGAATGTTTTCTTGTATTCTTCCAGCGTATTATGTGCATGGTAATTCTGGATTTCAGTACATGTTCCCGAGGTATATGTCTCATCAGAACAAAATAAATTTTCAAATAAAAACGTTATAACTAACATTATTTATAAATCAAGTTGGTTGGGACAGAATTCAAAGGCTTTAAAGTATCAACGAATTTTGAAG